ATCGGGAGGTTGAAGAAGATGATTTCTGAGATTTTTTTTTTTTTTCGTTTCATTTATTTTGGAGTATATGTACAGTATATCTTCGGTATATGTTCCTTATATGTATGATTTATATTTCGTATGTCTTCGGTATATGTATGGTTTATATTCATTAAATTCATGGGAAACATATACAATACATATACCATCATTACAGTTTGTTTGGTGATAGACAAATCCCTAATTGTTATAATATCAAAGTGTCTATTTGCTGCTTTTTTTGAAATGTTTTTTCTATCTTGTGTTCACCGTGAATTGGTATATTTGCTATGTTTTATGATGGAATATAACGGTTATATATATGGTATATATGTTAGGGTTATATGTTTGGTTACAGAAACATTGTTCAGTTCTGGTATATGTCCAGTATATATGTGGGGTTACATGTCTGGTTACATAACATTGTTCTGTTCTGGTATATTTCTTGTATATATGTAGGGTTATATGTCTGATTACATAACATTGTATTATTATTGTAAAACTACCTCAAAATATCACGAAAATATACCTCCCAAATCTTTCCAGTGCAATTTTTTTCTCGCTCTCCAGTGTTTTTTTAAGCCGCCGCATGTTTTTTTTTTTTTTACCGATAAACGGCGATCGTGTATCACAAAATATAATATCTTTTCCATATTTGAAAAACTGATATTGTGCCCCTAAAATTATGGAAGCTGTTCAGCATCCACGCGACGGTTTTTTAGGCATGCTTATAAATACTTTTTATATATTAGGTATATAAACAATTTTTTTTTTTTTTGTTTGGATGGTAATTTTGTAATTACTTAAAAATCTGTAAGTAGAAGTAAAAATCTCCCAAATAAAATTACTGGATTTATTTTTGGGGGAGTGGATCTTAATGATGAAAAGTAGTCAAGTTATTAACTGAAAATTGTTAACTACTATCAGCTCACAAATTTCAATAGAAAATCGAACAAACAAAAAAATGTTAGTAGTTGTAACAAAAAATCATTTAAATTTGGTGGTTAGTTACTACAGAAAAGGTCATCTTTTGTATCACTAAAACATATATCGAGGATAACTTTGAACAAAAATTAAGATAGATAGTCTATTCATAAACAATTAATAAGAAACAAACAAACTAATTTTGTGTCAAACCTGAAACTTTGCAATTAATATTTTAAAAAAAAAAATATAGAAATTATTAAGGAAAAATTTACGTTTGTTTACAGTCTTATTTTGATTTATTTGATGGTCAACCTAATAATTGTTGTATGTAATTTTTTGTTTTATTTGGAGAAAAATGTGAAATATGGATTATGAAAAAGAGAGAGGGGAGAGAAAGTAAAGGGAATCATTAAATTATATTTCAATCTATAAATTATTCAACTCATTATTAAGGAAGTTATATGATTCAAACTAAAAATATAATTTATTAGTATAAATGGGAATGTAAAATAACTATCTACAAGAATAGAATTGAAGAGTTAAAGTAAGAATAAAATATAATTTATAATACAGTTGGAAGTTAAAAAAGTAGTCCAAGCCTGAAGGCAGTTTTTTCGACGGCAACAATCAGCATTCGCAGCCCAAGAGAGAAGCCCAGCAAGGGAGCCCAACTGTGTGAGGCCCAGTTTCTGCAGCCCTCCCGCGTCCGGCACGAGTCGGCCCGTGCTCCTCACAACGAGTTACCCAATAATCAAACTCATAATATTGTGTATAAAGAGGTTTAATAATATAAATTTTTTTCGTGACGAACATTTTATGATGAATAATGTCCGTACATATTAAATTATATCTAATGCATGTGAAATTATAGTATTCTCTAGATTTATATACCCGATACGCACTAGTTACATACTATAATACAACAAATTAGCTGAGAAAACCAGCCAATCTGCTAAATCTAGTTGGGAGAGCTACACGAAGTGTAGTCTAGAGCCAACTAACACCAAAACGCACAACAAACACAAACTAACACGAAACTCCCAATAGGAGAAGAAAACTCCCACAAGTGGAGAAGCTCCCAAGCGGGAGAACCGAAAAAACCAACTCTCAAACGGGAGAAGCTCCCAACCAGGAGAACCAAAAAGACGAACACACACAAACCAACTACTACTGACAACAAAACATGAAAGCAAAAATAAGATTCAACAATACCATCTTCCCCACCGGTCTGCAACTCCATCGCCATCACGACCCAAACCAACACCCAGGCAAGGTCAACCGAGAAAAGGCCCCCCTGCAGCCCACAGGCAGAACCAGTATCGCCCTTATCGGTCGCACTGGAACCGAGCCACAGAAACGAAACCCGCCCCAGAGACCCGCATACCCACCCAAGTCGGTCCACCACCACAGCCCCCTCCACGCACACTCCGGAGCCGCAGCCAAGAGGTCCCCACCGTCCCAGCACCAGGGACGGCAGGGAAAGGAAGGATCCATGGTTGAACCACCACCACAGACCACCGGAAGGCGCCCGTGACGACCATTAGACCCGGGTAACCCACCGCAGCTCGACTCTACCTCACCCGACATGGCACTCGATACAAAGCGGGACCACTACGCTAGAGAATCGAACACAGATTGGCCGCGCCGACGGACTTAGTGCGAGCCAGATGCTCGCCGGTGGCGTGACGACGATTGCCGACTGAGGGGAGACGAAACAGGGAGAGGAGACGGCTAGGTCTTTGCAAAAGACAATTTGAGGATTTTTCTTTAGGAGAGAGAAAACTATTTTTTCGGTGTCAATATATTAACCATCACCCGAATAATTAACTGATATTAGTTAACTATATTTATAAATAAGAATTGAGTTGAGTTGATTAGATGGTTGAATACGAAATAACCCAACTAATTATAACTCATATCAAATCACAGCCTTAATGCTGCTTAAGTTACTATTGGAAATTGTATTATCATGGAGTTTTTACTATTTGAAATTGTATTAGTATGAAGTTTTTTTTTT